CATCAACACATTTCAAGTGGCGTAAAGCAAACAGAGACTCACTTTCACCTTTTCATTTGTTGTTGTTTTTTGTTGCTGGAAATTTTTCTGTTTTTCATTCTTTCTTCTGCTGTTTCTATTGAGTAGTGCCTGCATACTTAATAGACCTTTAGAGAGTCAGTGAAAGTTTTTTTCCCAGAAACGCACTTTATATGAATAGGAAGCATTTGACTTTCATTACACTATAAATATGATCTCATATACAAGTACAAACAGATCGCGTGTCAAAATTACGGGTCTTTCACCGAACGTGACCGCTTTCGATTTGTCAAACCAATTTGAGATTACATCTCAACTGATAAGCATTCCTAAATCTCAAACGAATTCGGCTAAATGGTATGCATGGATCGATGGATTTGAAAACGAAGAACAAGCTGTTGTGTTCGCCTCGGAGTGGAATGAAGCGTTCAAGCATGGACGAATCGGTATTAGATGTGAAATTGATACCGCTACAGATACATCAAAGGTTCATGAATCAAGTATAACAATAAAGTCCAATGATAAAAGATCACAGTTTACACATTCGAATCGATCTACATACTATTATGAGTCCAATGATGATGATGATGATGATGCAGCGAAGAATCGAAATCGTGAGTAGAAGAAAATTGACATTTTTTTTCATTCAAAAAAGTGACATATTGAGAAATGCAAAACTTTCACAACAGAAATCTCAAAAGAGTTGATGAAAAAGATTCGTGTTATAATTTTTGCCCTTCAAGACTCGAATAGTATTTGTCGTATGATATCAGTTAAATGAAGTGCTTTATAAGATATTCTACCAAAATATCAGCAAAGATGATAGTATCATATGTTAGATTTTGGATTCAACTATACAAGAACATAATACAAATTGTGCCATTCAAAAATCAAAATATTAGGATCCATAGACTTATCGTTTATTGGCTAAGACTGCCTTCTAACTGTATCTCTGCTTAATCGATAAGAAAACGCTTTTTGACAAGTGTGAAATCTTGACATGTTCTCTACCTATTACTTGACGGATAAAGGCATATACCATGTTAGTATATAGAACTTGTTTTGCTCCACAAAACTGTTTGTTTAAAGTATTATTCAATATCATCTGTGTAGCAAGGGTATCGAAGAACTTTTCTTTATTCATAGAACATTGATATCCGCTTTTGAAAGTATTTTCAATAGCTCCTAAGAACCAATAGCATGACAGTGTAACCCATTTAATAGGTAGCACGAGTCGAAATTGAAAATTGTGCATAACAATCTGCTGAAGGGTCTTATGAATTGTTTTATCAGAAATATTTCTGAATGCTAGATCTTGACCCTCTACAGCCATCTAATTACTTATTTGAACAATCTAGACATTGGAGAGCCTAATGTGCGTATTACTTCATAATATCATTCAAAGCACTGGCAACTTTTCCACAGATCCAGTTTTAATTTTGTTTCCTATTGGAAGCGTTGAAATTTCATAGCAGTATGTCCATTCATAGTAGGTTTTCTAGAGACCTTTGCAGAATCAAAAGATTTTTGAAAAGCATCTTTTGTAATTTCGATCTTCAGAGTTAGTAGTGCGTAAAACAAGTGTTATTACTTCAAACTTTTCAGTGTTCGAGGCTTTTGTGTACACAAGTACGAATCTAGCCAACAAAAATTAAAATCTTATCACATCAGTGCTGTTCAAGTCAAAATAGATACGCTTGAAAACTACTGTAAATGGAAAAACATGATCATTTATGAACAAATAAATGCTTGTTTATGGTATCTGTTTTTCTGTATTTACTCCGTCTACGAACTTCTACTAGCATTTCATATACTTCGTATTCGATCACAAAACTTTAGAGTAATCATACTTGTAAAACATATGTTGCAAAAGTCTTTGGGCAAAACATTTATTTATTTTTTGATCACTTAATTGTAAGTAGTGAAAATTAAAAGTAGTTCATTCGAATCAGGATTTGGCGTTCTTTTCCACTATATATTCAGAATATTTCTCGGACTTACGCTTGATTTTTGTCTTGAGCAAAACACTGGACATGGTCGAGAATGATATTTGTATAGAGTTTAATTTTGGTTGTATCTATTTTATCACTAAATATATTCAGTCATAAATCTGAAAGATCTTTTCATTAACCGATTTTCTAAAGCCAAAACATGCTTGTTGCATTTGACAAAGACGGATCTTCACAAAATGATTTTTGACAGTTTGTTATTTACCGTTGAAAGTGGTGTTTGAAAAAGTATATATAACTCTTGACTTCTTTTGTTTGAAGCCTATGGTAATACATAATTTGTTGAGGGTGAGGCATATAGTAGGTGAGGGATCACACGTTCACTGTCCATTTAATATTCTCCAGTTTGAATTAATTTTATTTTTCCCTGCTAACTTTCTTGTGCTCAATTTTCCGCACTTTTGGTTCTTGCCAGTTAAGATAAAGTTGTCAAAAATCAAACAAACATTTCGCACAGTGACGTTTGCAGCAGATGCAATGTGCTGCTACCCAAGCAGACAAACATTTGGAAAACCGCGTTTAAACGCTCAAAAGGGAACCGCGATTGTGAGTCAGTAACGCTCATTAAAAAAACGCAAGAAACACGGTTTTTGCACAAAATTTTCGCTTTCAGACCGTGAAAACGGCGAAAACTCCAGTTTTTGAGCGTTAAAACTCATTGTTTTTAAATTCTGGAATAAAAGCACGTTTTAACGCTCAACAACGGGAGTTTTCGCCGTTTTCACGGTCTGAAAGTGAAAATTTTGCGCAAAAAACGCGTTTCTTGCGTTTTTTTAATGAGCGTTACTGGCTCACAATCGCGGTTCCCTTTT